TATTGTTCTTCACCACTAAAGTGCTAGGAATTAACAGCCAAATGTGATGCCTGTGCCTTTCATATCTCTACCATGTGTTTGTTTGTTTAATACCCATAAGACTACATCATTAAACCTCAAGCACTGATTTCACTAATTCAGCACCAGAGCTACATGCTACGGCAGCAAACACCTTTTCTAGTCAATCATAATTGAACAGCTGGATGTAAAATGCAATATTATTTTTAGGCTCGTCTCTAACTTTGACTTTGAACCGCAAACAGTATTTATCCTCCAAAACAAAATACCTTCCTATCTTTGTAATGCATCCGCTATATATAGCAAGAGCACCAGGATAAGGGGGGGATGTTTTTTTACCCACTTTGTTGGTTCCACATAATAATAGATGCCACTGAAATCTCCCACCGTGGCTGCGTTTAGTGAAACCTAACGCGGGGTGCTTGTTTTTCTCTAGGAAGTATTACTTAAGAGAGCAGCAGACCTTGTTGAAGCCCTATACGGGATGCCCCACAACAACCAGGTAGGTGACGAGCGCGGTGTTTGCCTCCCCGTGTAAGTGGATAGCTGCTCTCTGCAGGGCTGGCAGAGCGTCAGCACGCCCTTTTTGTACACTGCCAGGCTTTGCCAGCCACCTCGAGGGCAGGCTGATGTGATGCAATGCTCTCAGGGAAACGCTTCGCCCTCCCATTCTCCTCTCGCCGCTAGTTCGCCCATCAGAAATGACAATTAAGTGTAAGGTGCCAAAAGCATAAGCAATCATTAAGGCAAGAGAATAACCTTGAACTCGGGCCAAAATATACAGTGACTAATGGGAAGTCCTAAAGAAATCTGCTAAACAGAGCGGATCAAACATACTGTATTTTGCAAACTGCTGCAAATACATCGCCTGCCCCGGCCGAACAAAGCGTACGTTAAGATTTTCACGTGACTTACTGTTAATTTGGTGTTAATTTCATGGTTTCTTTATACTTTGTTGATGTAGAATTGTGTAGTGCTCTGGGATGTAGGAAGGGCAAGAGAAGGTGCGGATGGGACCCCCACCCTTACTATAATTTCACACGAATCCCTCCTGTAAATTTTAAACCTTATTGCAACGGGGCGTGTTCGCTCCGACTGGTTCCTTAGCTGTCAGCACTGATTTTGTGTCTTTATAGGAAATAATCCTGAAACGAGCAGCTGACATTGCTGAGGCGTTATACAGCGTGCCACGCAATCACAACCAGATCCCCACTCTAGCCAACACTCCCGCTCACACTGGCATGATGGGAGTGAACTCCTTCAGCAGCCAGCTCGCCGTTAACGTCTCCGAAACATCGCAAGCGAACGACCAAGGTACGTGGCGTTTCAAGAGTTAATCCTCCACGGTCTTTTGGACCATTTTGGGCCAGCGCCTGTAGATCTGAGCTGATGTCACCGCTGCGTCCTCCCTCTTTTTCTCCCCGTAGTCAGATGTCTGATGCTGTAATGAAATGCTGCCTTTAACTTTCTCGTCATATTTAATTCTTCCTGTTCTTTCATTTACTGTTATCATAAAGCATCTCCAGTGGGGGGGGGGAAAATGGCAAAGCATAGAAAGCTCTTTATTATTCACAGTAAATATTACGACGTGTGTGTTATAAAATAATTATGTTTAGGTATCTCCACCTGGTTTTGGAATATTTACACAGATAAACCTAATTTGCTGTCTGTGATTTTAAAATACTTCGTTTATAGGCATGTGTGACATATATGTTACTAATAAAAGTAATAGTTGATTTAATTTACCTGTTGTAATTGAAAATGCACGTAGCCTATTGCATTTAAAATTAATTTTGATACTAATGAAAGGAGGGAAACAGGATTATTAGATATGTTCAAACCCATATTTTTCGCTTGCAACGTAATTATTAAATTGATTGCTCAGATAGGAACCAATTGTTGTTTAAAATCCTGATTCCGCTATGTTTCCTCTTCTAAAAAGATTGTCTTTTAATGCATTCCCAAGCTAATAAGCCTTATAAAATTCCATACTTGATCTTGAATTAGTTTTCACTGATGGCTACACCTTACGAAAGGACGAGCTCGTTGTTAGCGTAAAAATACCAATCATAAAACGAAGACCCCAAAACAGCCTTTTTACAGTAAATCACTGCGACAAAAAAAAAGTTTTCCTTGTCAGCTGTGGCATTTGAAGGTCTGGAGAGGCTGAAAGTTCATTCAGTGTGTTGGTACAAAGCGGGACTCGAGCCTGTTGATAATTGCTCCTAAAGACAAACGTGAAGGCACCTGCCAGAGCTGGATCGAAGAGAGCTTTTGTTGGCTGTCTGTGCTAAGAGGAGAGACAACATAGAGTGCTCGCGGATGATTTAAGTAGGGTTGGCGTGATAAGGTTATCTCAAACTGCAAGAGTTGATAGGGCAGTGAGAGACAACTGAGAGCAAAGCTGTGCAATCAATTAAAACTGTGTAATATATGCTGCATGAGGAAACCCCCCAGCCCTAAGTCCATATATATATATATA